GGAGATGGAGATGGAAATGAAGATGAGATGGAGATGGGGATTGGGATGGAGATGGAGATGGGGATGGAGATGGGGATGGGGATGGAGATGAGATGGGGATGGAATGGAGGTGGAGATGGGGGTGGAGATGGGATGTAGATGGGGATGGAGATGGAGATGGAGAGGGGATGGAGATGGGATGAGGATGGGGATGGGGATGGAGATGAGATGGGGATGGGATGGAGATGATGGAGATGGAGATGGAGAGGGGATGGAGATGGGATGAGGATGGGGATGGGGATGGAGATGAGATGGGGATGGGATGGAGATGATGGAGATGGAGATGGAGAGGGGATGGAGATGGGATGAGGATGGGGATGGGGATGGGATGGGTCAACCACGAGCTGGAGGACATGGAGATGGACCCACACCCTCCCCCAACACCTCACCACCCCCCGTCCTTCCACCCAAGGACGAGCAGAGCACCCTCCAGCTCCTCAAGAAGCACCTCCTGACGGAGCAGACGGTGGAGAACTACGAGGAGACCATCGCCCAACTCTCCCGCCAATGCCGGGCTCTTCTGGAGCTTGGCCACCCTCAAAGGTGGGTCCCAACCCCACGTCACCACCACCTCAGGACCTCCCCCACCCCTTCCAGCCCCACGGCGGGGTCTTTGGTGGTCACCGGGCGCTGTGTCCCTTGCCCAGCGAACAGGTCAGCAGGCGGCAGTCGCAGGTTGACCGGCTGTACGTGTCTCTGAAGGACCTGGTGGAGGAACGCAAGGCCAAGTTGGAGCAGCAGTATTGGCTCTACCAGCTCAACCGGGAGGTGGACGAGCTGGAGCACTGGATCGCCGAGAAGGAGGTGGTGGCCGGCTCGCCCGAGCTGGGACAGGACTTCGAGCACGTCACGGTCAGTTTTGGGGTGGTGGTGGGGGACACACGTGTTGAGGAGGGTCTTGGCGTCAGGCATCATCCGTGTCCAACGTCAAGGGGCTTGGAGATGTCTTCTTCATGTGGTTTGGGGTCCTGGAGGTGTCTCCATCCTGAGTTGGGGGTCCTGGAGGTGTCCCCATCCCAAGTTGGGGGTTCCGGAGGTGTCTCCATCCCAAGTTGGGGGCCCTGGAGGTGTCCCCATCCAGAGTTGAGGGTTCTGGAGTTGTTTCTGTGTCGGGGGTCCTGGAGGTGTCCCCATCCTGAGTTGGGGGTTGGAGGTGTCTCCATCCTGAGTTGGGGGCTCTGGAGGTGTCTCCATCCTGAGCTGGGGGCCCTGGAGGTGTCCCCATCCTGAGTTGGGGGTCCTGGAGTTGTCCCCACCCTGAGTTGGAGGGCCTGAAGGTGTCCCCATCCTGAGTTGGGGGTCCTGGAGGTGTCCCCATCCTGAGTTGGGGGTTCTGGAGATGTCCCCATCCCAAGTTGGGAGGTCTGGAGATGTCCCCATCCTGAGTTGGGGGTCCTGGAGATGTCCCCATCCTGTGTCAGGGGGTAGGGTCCTGGAGATGTTCCCATCCTGTGTTGGGGGGCCTGGAGGTGTCCTCACCCTGTGTCAGGGGTCCTGGAGGTGTCCCCATCCTGAGTTGGGGGTCCTGGAGGTGTCCCCATCCCGAGTTGGGGGTCCTGGAGATGTCCCCATCCTGTGTCTGGTGGCTCTGGAGTTGTCCCCATCCTGTGTCAGGGGGTCCTGGAGGTGTCCCCATCCTGAGTTGGGGGTCCTGGAGGTGTCCCCATCCTGTGTCAGGGGTCCTGGAGGTGTCCCCATCCCAAGTTGGGGGTCCTGGAGGTGTCTCCATCCTGAGCTGGGGGCCCTGGAGGTGTCCCCATCCCAAGTTGGGGGTCCTGGAGGTGTCCTCATCCTGTGTTGGGGGTTCTGGAGATGTCCCCATCCCAAGTTGGGAGGTCTGGAGATGTCCCCATCCTGAGTTGGGGGTCTTGGAGGTGTCCCCATCCTGAGTTGGGGGTCTTGGAGGTGTCCTCACCCTGTGTTGGGGGTCCTGGAGGTGTCTCCATCCTGAGTTGGGGGCCCTGGAGGTGTCCCCATCCTGTGTTGGGGGTCTTGGAGGTGTCTTCACCCTGTGTCGGGGGTCCTGGAGGTGTCCCCATCCTGAGTTGGGGGGTCCTGGAGGTGTCCCCACCCTGTGTCGGGGGTCCTGGAGGTGTCCCCATCCTGAGTTGGGGGGTCTGAAGGTGTCTCCATCCCGAGTTAGGGGGTCTGGAGGTGTCCCCATCCTGAGTTGAGGGGTCTGGAGTTGTCTCCATCCTGAGTTGGGGGTCTTGGAGGTGTCCTCATCCTGTGTGGGGGGTCCTGGAGTTGTCTCCATCCTGTGTTGGGGGTCCTGGAGGTGTCCCCATCCCGAGTTGGGGGTCCTGGAGATGTCCCCATCCTGTGTCTGGTGGCTCTGGAGTTGTCCCCATCCTGTGTCAGGGGGTCCTGGAGGTGTCCCCATCCTGAGTTGGGGGTCCTGGAGGTGTCCCCATCCTGTGTCAGGGGTCCTGGAGGTGTCCCCATCCCAAGTTGGGGGTCCTGAAGGTGTCCCCATCTTGTGCTGGGGGTCTTGGAGGTGTCCTCACCCTATGTCAGGGGTCCTAGAGGTGTCTCCATCCTGAGCTGGTGGCTCTGGAGATGTCCCCATCCTGAGTTGGAGGTCCTGGAGGTGTCCCCATCCCGAGTTGGGGGTCCTGGAGGTGTCCCCATCCCAAGTTCGGGGTTTAGAGATGTCCCCATCCTGAGTTGGGGGCCCTGGAGGTGTCCCCATCCTGTGTCAGGGGTCCTGGAGGTGTCCCCATCCCAAGTTGGGGGTCCTGAAGGTGTCCTGAGCTGGGGGTCCTGGAGGTGTCCCCATCCTGTGTCAGGGGGTGCTGGAGGTGTCCCCATCCTGAGTTGGGGGTTCTGGAGGTGTCCCCATCCCGAGTTGGGGGTGCTGGAGGTGTCTCCATCCTGAGTTGGGGGTCTTGGAGGTGTCCTCACCCTGTGTCAGGGGTCCTGGAGGTGTCCCCACTCTATGCCTGGGGTCCTGGAGATGTCCTCACCCTGAGTTGGGGGTCCTGAAGGTGTCCCCATCCCAAGCTGGGGGTCCTGGAGGTGTCCCCATCCTGTGTCGGGGGTCCTGGAGGTGTCCCCATCCTGAGTTGGGGGTCCTGGAGGTGTCCCCACTCTATGCCTGGGGATCAGGCATAGATGGGGCATCAATGCCCCATCCTGGTCTTGGCCACCATCAACACCTCATGCTGGTGGTCCTGGCCACCATCAATGCCCCATCCTGGTCCTGGCCACCATCAACGCCTCATGCTGGTGGTCCTGGTCACCATTCCTGCCCTATGCTGGTCCTGGCCACCATCAATGCCCCATCCTGGTTCCTGGTCACCATCAATGCCCCATCCTGGTCCTGACCACCATCAATGCCCCATGCCAAGGGTTCAATGCCCCATGCCAAGGGTCTTGGCCACCACCAATGCCCCATCCTGGTCTTGGCCACCATCAACACCTCATGCTGGTGGTCCTGGTCACCATCAATGCCCCATCCTTGTCCTGGCCACCGTCAATGCCCCATCCTGGTCTTGGCCACCATCAATGCCCCATCCTGGTCCTGACCACCATCAATGCCCCATGCCAAGGGTTCAATGCCCCATGCCAAGGGTCTTGGCCACCATCAATGCCCCATCCTGGTCTTGGCCACCATCAACACCTCATGCTGGTGGTCCTGGCCACCATCAACACCCCATCCTGGTTCCTGGCCACCATCAATGCCCCATCCTGGTCCTGGTCACCATCAATGCCCCATGCCAGGGGTCCTGGCCACCATCAATGCTCCATTGTGGTGGTCCTGGTCACCATCAATGCCCCATCCTGGTCCTGGCCACCATCAATGCCCCATGCCAAGGGTTCAATGCCCCATGCCAAGGGTCTTGGCCACCATCAATGCCCCATCCTGGTCTTGGCCACCATCAACACCTCATGCTGGTGGTCCTGGCCACCATCAACACCCCATCCTGGTTCCTGGCCACCATCAATGCCCCATCCTGGTCCTGGTCACCATCAATGCCCCATGCCAGGGGTCCTGGCCACCATCAATGCTCCATTGTGGTGGTCCTGGTCACCATCAATGCCCCATCCTGGTCTTGGCCACCATCAATGCCCCATGCCAAGGGTTCAATGCCCCATGCCAAGGGTCCTGGTCACCATCAACGCCCCATCCTGGTCTTGGCCACCATCAATGCCTCATGCTGGTGGTCCTGGCCACCACCAATGCCCCATCCTGGTCTTGGCCACCATCAATGCCTCATGCTGGTGGTCCTGGCCACCATCAATGCCCCATGCTGGTCCTGGCCACCATCAACGTCCCATTTCAGGAGTCCTGCCCCCATCCCTACCTTGTATGGCCAACACAACGTTGTCCACCCCCTCACCCCTTGCCCACCCCTCACCCCCTGCCCCCATCCCTGCCCATCCCAGTTGCTCCAGGAGAAGTTCCTGGAGTTCGCCAGCGAGACGGGCAGCGTGGGGCAGGAGCGCATCGCCGCCGTCAACCAGATGGTGGACGAGCTGATCGACTACGGCCACGCCGACGCCGCCACCATCGCCGAGTGGAAGGACGGGGTCAACGAAGCTTGGGCCGATCTCCTGGAGCTGATGGAGACCCGGGCGCAGATGTTGGCGGCCTCACACGAACTGCACAAGTTCTTCAACGACTGCAAAGAGGTTTTGGGGCAAATCGAGGAGAAAAGGCAACGTCTGCCCGAATTGGCCGCCCGGGAGGGCAGGACGTCGGCCGGCGCCTTGCAACGGGCGTTGGGCGCCTTCGAACACGACGTGGAGGTTTTGGTGACCCAAGTGAGGCAGCTACAAGAAGGTGCAGCCCAGTTGAGGACCCTCTACGCCGGGGACAACGCCGAGGCCATCGCCGGGAGGGAGCAGGAGGTTCTTCGGGCTTGGAAGGAGCTTCTGGCGGCCTGCGAGGAGTGTCGTCTCCACGTGGCCAGCGTGGCCGACAAGATCCGCTTCGTCGGCACCGTCAGAGACCTTCTGGCCTGGATGGATGGTGTCCTCTGCCAGATCGGCGCCGGGGAGAAGCCCAGGTGGGCTTCCAGGTGGAGGTGCGGGCTGCGCCCAGGTCTTGTGTCCTGTCTTGGCTTCCAAGGATCCATGTCCTGGTCCATCCGTGGTGTCAAGGATCCATGTCCTGGCACATCCCAAGGTCCCGTGTCCTGGTCCATCCAAAGGACCCCTTTGTTGTCCCATCCGTGGCACCAAGAACCTGTGTCCTGTCCCATCAACCCAAGGACACGTGTCCTGTCCCATCCGTGGAGTCAAAGACCTGTGTCCCACCCCATCTGGAGGACCCGTGTCCTGTCCTACTCAGAAGACCCATGTCCTGTCCCATCCATGGCACCAAAGACCCATGTCCTGTTCCATCCCAAAGACCAGTGTCCTGTCCCACCCCTGAAGCCAAGGAAGTCCTGTCCCATCTGCAGGACCCATGTCCTGGCCCATCCATGAAGCCAAGGAAGTCCTGTCCCACCTGAAGGGCCCATGTCCTCTTCCATCTGGAGGACCTATGTCCTGGCCCATCCATGAACCCAAGGACCCATGACCTCAGCCATCTGTAGGACCCATGTTACGTCCCACTCACGAAGCCATGGACCCATCTCCTATCCCTTCTGAAGGACCCATGTCCTGTCCCACCCATGGATTCGAGGACCCATGTCCTCCAAGGACCCATGTCCTGTCCCACCCATGGATTCGAGGACCCATGTCCTCCAAGGACCCATGTCCTGTCCCACCCATGGATTCGAGGACCCATGTCCTCCAAGGACCCATGTCCTGTCCCACCCATGGATTCGAGGACCCATGTCCTCCAAGGACCCATGTCCTGTCCCACCCATGGATTCGAGGACCCATGTCCTCCAAGGACCCATGTCCTGTCCCACCCATGGATTCGAGGACCCATGTCCTCCAAGGACCCATCTCCTGCCCCATGGCTGGAGGTGGGGGTTCCCATCCCCTCCCTCCCTCCCAGCCCCCATCGTCTCCATCCCCAGGGACGTCTCCTCGGTGGAGCTGCTGATGAATGACCCCCAAGGTCTCAAGAGCGAGATCGAAGCCCGGGGCAAGAACATCGCCGCCTGCCTGGAGCTGGGCAAGACCCTCATCCTCAGCAAGAGCCCGGCGGCCGATGAGGTGCTTGGGGTGGGGTGGGACACGGGGGTGGGTGTGGACAATTGGGAGGGGAAGGAGGAGCTACAACCACCCGCCCCGTGTCCTCCTCCCACCCCCTGTAGATCAAAACCCACGTGGAGAAGCTGTTGGCCAAGAAGAAGGAGATGATGGAGAAGTGGGACAAGCACTGGGAGTGGCTGCAGCAGAGTGAGTCCCACCTCGGGGGGTGTGGGGGGTGGTCATCTGGGGAGAGGGTGGGGTCCTCCACCACCGTGGGGATGGGATCCTCTTGGGGACACCATGAGCGTGTCCTTCTGTCCTGTCCCCTCCCTGCCCCATCCATCTGTCCACCAGTGCTGGGTTGGGTCCTTGGGGACACCATGAGCATGTCCTTCTGTCCTTCTTCTCCCTCCCCACCCCATTTGTCTGTTGTTGGGTCCTCTACCACCATGAAGGACTTCTCTTGGGGACACCATGAGCGTGTCCTGTCCTTCTTCCCCCTCCCCACCCCATCCATCTGTCATCAGGTCCTCCACCACCATGAGGACGGGATCCTCTTGGGGCCACCATGAGCGTGTCCCTCTGTCCTCCTGCCCCCTCTCTGCCCTGTCCATCTGTCCACCAGTGCTGGGTTGGGTCCTTGAGGACACCATGAGCGTGTCCTTCTGTCCTTCTTCCCCCTCCCCACCCCATCCATCTGTCGTTGGGTCCTCCACCACCATGAAGGACTTCTCTTGAGGACACCATGAGCGTGTCCTTCTGTCCTCCTGCCCCCTCCCCACCCCGTCCATCTGTCATCAGGTCCTCCACCACCATGAAGGGCTTCTCTTGGGGACACCATGAGCGTGTTCTTCTGTCCTCCTGTCCCCTCCCCACCCCATCCGTCTGTCATCAGGTCCTCCACCACCATGAGGACGGGATCCTCTTGGGGACACCATGAGCATGTCCTTCTGTCCTTCTTCCCCCTCCCCACCCCATCCATCTGTCATCAGGTCCTCCACCACCATGAGGACGGGATCCTCTTGAGGATGCCATGAGTGTGTCCTCCTGTCCCCTCCCTGCCCTGTCCATCTGTCCACCAGTGCTGGGTTGGGTCCTTGGGGACACCATGAGCGTGTCCTTCTGTCCTTCTTCCCCTTCCCCTCCCCATCTGTCTGTCATTGGGTCTTCCACCACCATGAAGGGCTTCTCTTGGGGCCACCATGAGAGTGTCCTTCTGTCTTTCTTCCCTCTCCCCACCCCATCCATCTGTCGTTGGGTCCTCCACCACCATGAGGACGGGATCCTCTTGAGGACACCATGAGCGTGTCCTCCTGTCCTCCTGCCCCCTCGCCACCCCGTCCATCTGTCATCAGGTCCTCCACCACCATGAGGACGGGATCCTCTTGAGGACACCATGAGCGTGTCCTCCTGTCCTCCTGCCCCCTCGCCACCCCGTCCATCTGTCATCAGGTCCTCCACCACCATGAGGACGGGATCCTCTTGAGGACACCATGAGCGTGTCCTCCTGTCCTCCTGCCCCCTCGCCACCCCGTCCATCTGTCATCAGGTCCTCCACCACCATGAGGACGGGATCCTCTTGGGGCCACCATGAGCGTGTCCCTCTGTCCTCCTGTCCCCTCCCTGCCCTGTCCATCTGTCCACCAGTGCTGGGTTGGGTCCTTGGGGACACCATCAGCGTGTCCTTCTGTCCTCCTGCCCCCTCCCTGCCCTGTCCATCTGTCCACCAGTGCTGGGTTGGGTCCTTGGGGACACCATCAGCGTGTCCTTCTGTCCTCCTGCCCCCTCCCTGCCCTGTCCATCTGTCCACCAGTGCTGGGTTGGGTCCTTGGGGACACCATCAGCGTGTCCTTCTGTCCTCCTGCCCCCTCCCTGCCCTGTCCATCTGTCCACCAGTGCTGGGTTGGGTCCTTGGGGACACCATCAGCGTGTCCTTCTGTCCTCCTGCCCCCTCCCTGCCCTGTCCATCTGTCCACCAGTGCTGGGTTGGGTCCTTGGGGACACCATCAGCGTGTCCTTCTGTCCTCCTGCCCCCTCCCTGCCCTGTCCATCTGTCCACCAGTGCTGGGTTGGGTCCTTGGGGACACCATCAGCGTGTCCTTCTGTCCTCCTGCCCCCTCCCTGCCCTGTCCATCTGTCCACCAGTGCTGGGTTGGGTCCTTGGGGACACCATCAGCGTGTCCTTCTGTCCTCCTGCCCCCTCCCTGCCCTGTCCATCTGTCCACCAGTGCTGGGTTGGGTCCTTGGGGACACCATCAGCGTGTCCTTCTGTCCTCCTGCCCCCTCCTCACTCCATCCATCTGTCCTTGGGTCCTTCACCACCATGAGGACGGGATCCTCCTGAGGATGCCATGAGCGTGTCCTTCTGTCCTCCTGCCCCCTCCCTGCCCTGTCCATCTGTCCACCAGTGCTGGAGGTCCACCAGTTTGCCCAGGAGGCGGTGGTGGCCGACGCGTGGCTGACGGCCCAGGAGCCCCTCCTGAAGAGCCAGGAGCTGGGCAGCATGTTGGGTCCCCCACCACCATGAAGGGTTTCTCCTGGGGACACCATGAGCGTGTTCTTCTGTCCTCACCATGAGCATGTCCTCCTGTCCTCCTGTCCCCTCCCTGCCCTGTCCATCTGTCCACCAGTGCTGGGTTGGGTCTTTGGGGACACCATGAGCGTGTCCTGTCCTTCTTCCCCCTCCCCACCCCATCCATCTGTCATCAGGTCCTCCACCACCATGAGGATGGGATCCTCTTGAGGACACCATGAGCGTGTCCTTCTGTCCTTCTTCCCCCTTCCCACCCCATCCATCTATCGTTGGGTCCTCCACCACCATGAGGACGGGATCCTCTTGAGGATGCCATGAGCGTGTCCTTCTGTCCTTCCCTGCCCTGTCCATCTGTCCACCAGTGCTGGAGGTCCACCAGTTTGCCCAGGAGGCGGTGGTGGCCGACGCGTGGCTGACGGCCCAGGAGCCCCTCCTGAAGAGCCAGGAGCTGGGCAGCAGCGTGGACGAGGTGGAGCAGTTGATCCGGAGACACGAGGCCTTCAGGAAGGCGGCGGCCGCCTGGGAGGAGAGGTTCAGCTCCCTCAGGAGACTCACCACGGTACGGGCACCTTGGGGGGAGGCTGATGTCACCCCCCCTCCCCCGTCCTGTCCCCTCCACCCTTTGGGGTCACTGCAGCCACCGGCTGTGTCCCCGTCACTGTACTCGGCCCCATCCCTCTACACATCCCCCATCTCCATCTCCATCCCCATCATCTCATCCCCATCATCTCCATCATTCCCATCTCCATCCCCATCTCCATCTTTATGCCCATCTCCCCATGTCCCCCATCATCCTCATCATCCCCACCCCATCTCCATCCATCCCCATCATCTCTCCATCCCCATCATCTCATCTCCATCATCTCATCTCCATCATCTTCATCCCCATCCGCATCCTCATCATCCCCATCCCATCTCCATCTCCATCTCCATCTCCATCTCCATCTCCATCTCCATCTCCATCCCCATCATCTCATCCCCATCATCTCCATCATTCCCATCTCCATCCCCATCTCCATCTTTATGCCCATCTCCCCATGTCCCCCATCATCCTCATCATCCCCACCCCATCTCCATCCCGGTCATCTCCATCATCTCCATCATTCCCATCCCATCTCATCTCCATCTCCATCATCCCTGTCATCCCCATCCCCATCCGAATCTCCATCCCCAACATTTCATCTTCATCATCTCCATCATCCCCATCTCCATCCCCATCATCTCCATCTCCATCATCTCATCCCTGTCATCTCCATCATCGCCATCTCCATCCCCATCCTCATCATCTCCATCCTCATCCACATCCTCATCATCCCCATCCCATCTCCATCCCCATCATCTCCATCATCCCCATCATCTCCATCCTCCCCATCTCCATCCCCATCATCTCCATCCCCATCCACATCCTCATCATCTCCATCATCGCCATCTCCATCCTCATCATCTCCATCCCCATCCACATCCTCATCATCCCCATCCCATCTCCATCCCCATCATCTCATCCCCGTCATCTCCATCATCCCCATCATCTCCATCTCCATCATCTCATCCCTGTCATCTCCATCATCCCCATCATCTCCATCCCCATCATCTCCATCCCCATCCACATCCTCATCATCCCCATCCCATCTCCATCCTCATCATCTCCATCTCCATCCTCATCATCTCCACCCCCATCCTCATCATCTCCATCCACATCCTCATCATCCCCATCCCATCTCCATCCCCATCATCTCATCCCCGTCATCTCCATCATCCCCATCATCTCCATCTCCATCATCTCATCCCTGTCATCTCCATCATCCCCATCATCTCCATCCCCATCATCTCCATCCCCATCCACATCCTCATCATCCCCATCCCATCTCCATCCTCATCATCTCCATCTCCATCCTCATCATCTCCACCCCCATCCTCATCATCTCCATCCACATCCTCATCATCCCCACCCCATCTCCATCCCCACCACTCCATCCCCACCCCATCTCCATCCCCACC